TCTAGCATGTCTTGCTTCCTGGGTGGCCGACTGGCATCTCTCTGACTCCGCTCTCCTTCTTCCCATCCTTCTCAGTTTGGCTTTCCCACCTAACTTCCTGTTCAGCTACTGGCCTGTCAGCTTTTTATTAGCCAATGAGAGTGACACATATTCGTGTAGTGTAGAAAGGATTGTTCCACAGCAGAGACAAGCTTCTAGGCATGGCCATGAAGGAGTTTCTACAAACCACTCTAAATGACACCATTCCACGAGCTGGGGTCCCAGACTGAATAAAAAGTAGAAAGCAAGCGGAGTGCCAGCTTCCAGGGCTCTCTGACTAAGGACAGGTGTAAAGTGACCAGCCACCTCCCATTCCTGCCACTGTGTCTTCCTTGCCACAGTGGACGGTACACTTCCTTCTGTGTGTTTTGTCCAGTATTTTGTCACAGCAGTGAGAACAATATTTAACGCAGGATTTAAAAGAAGCAATGCCGGCACCTCACTTTAGGAAACAAGCATCTGAGCACACCTGGCTATAAAATGCATACCAACAACGGAAATCATCTTTACTTCAATATAAATCAGGGCAATCAGCTGCCAACAATGTAAGTCAAGACAGTAAAGCTATGGGCCAGCTATGCAGAAGTGTGGACATGTACTCAGGCATATGATCTACTGAAACTCAAGTCGTTTATGAGTCCCTTTGCTTGGAGCTCTCTATGAACTGTCCACGCTCCTTACCTCCACGTGTTGAGCCATCTGAACTTCCCACTGCCTTGTGAACTATGTCTTGACTCTACACACCTGCTTTTTAAACATGGCTCCCTTTCTTCCCTTCTTAGCTGGGTACTAGGACCATTCTGCTGGATAAGATCAGCATTTCACTTGTCACATAGTACCTCTCTAGTTCACAGTGAACAATGATAGAAAAGTTCTTTTAGGGCCGATAGTCTTACGTGCCAGGATCCCAGCATTTAAGAGGCTGAAGCAGGAAGAAGTGAGTTCAAGCCCAGCCTGGGATCTTACCCCAAAATAAACAAATTCCTTCAGTTTAAAGCTGAAACAACTACTACTTTCATTTTCCAAGTTTGAAAGTTTATAGCATTCATGGTGTTACAGATCATGTTATGGCATTCCTAACATAAATAAATGATTATATATTGCACAAAACCATGAAGATGTTTAGATATTTCCTGATTTCAAAAATATTCATTTCATGATTGATTACCAGATACATCACAGCTGTTTTTAACTTTCTGGCAAATCCTTTTACATTTCCCAATCACTAATATTTAATAACATTATTATTTATTCAATACTCATTCATCAAATTCCTATGGATCACCTGCCCTGTGCCAGGCACTATTCTGAGTTGTTGAGGAATCAACACAGACCAAAACAGACTCTTGGAATAATGTGATTACACTATATAAAGATAAACTAGCTAAGTAAAATTAACAGCATGTTACATGGTAGTAAAGGCTAAGGAGAAAAATAAAGCAGGAAAGGAAAACAAATATTGTAGGTGCGCTGTACCTTCTAGATATTTTATAAATTTCTTTTGACAATACCATCAGGAAACATTTGTTTAGATTTTTTACTTCTGGTGATAAAAGCCTGGTGGTGGCGGCAATGTGCACACCTCTAATCTCAGTGCTTGGGAGAGAGACATGGGGATTTCTGTGAGTTTGAGGCCTGTCTAGTCTATAGAGCAAATTCCACAACACCTAAGTCTACGCAGAGAAACCCTGTCTTGAACCCCCCTCCCCCAAAAAGACCCCCAAGCAGATGGAACCGGACTTCCACTCCTTTTCTCCTGTATATGAAATGGATGCACTATGTCTAGTTCCTGTAAAAATAGCATAGCAACAATGTGGTTGTGGCTTCAAGTGTCATCACACTACTCTAGTGTTCTGTTTTGCTTGGCTGTTTCCTTTTCTTTTTTCCTTTGCAAATATGAATTTTAACATATGGTGATTGTCAACTTAATGTCTAGAGGAACTATAAAACAAAAGCTGCATTACAAAAGTAATGAAGTACTTGGGTGTGGTTGTAAGGACGGTCATCCCAGAACTTGGTGTTCGGAGGGAAGAGGTGAAGGTCATCATCCAGTTCCACCAGGCTACCTAACACTGTTATCTTAAAAAAAGAAAAAAAGAAAGCAAGGGGAGCGGAGGAGAAGAAAAGTCAGGCTGTGGTGGCACTCGCCTTTAATCCCAACACTCCGGAGGCAGA